AGGGTGATAACCCAGTGGCACAAAGCACAGTCCAGTGTTTGTCTGCAAATCAGGTACCTGACCATTGCTTCTGTGCCCCACTTTGAAGTGTTTTGGGTAATTATCCAGGAGTTGGATGATTATCATGAAGTAGTTGGACTTCTACATAGTCCTGTCCTCCCTGGGCATCACTGCGGTGCTCCAAGGATCACCCGGCAGGTTTAAAGACAAGATGGGACCTCCACGAGGGCTGTGGGCTCTGGGGACTGACGCCCCTGGCCCCAAGCATCTCCCCCCTTGCTGAGCCTGGTTTGGCTTTGATGACCTTACCTGCACAGATGCTGACAGCCCCTCCGAGTGCGTCCCCCAGGGTGAGTTCAATGCCATGCCGCACCTTGAGACAGAGGTCGTCTTCCACGAGGTGAAGGGCTGCTCCCGCGGGGATGCCCAGAGCACCAAAGCCGCTCACATCGTCCGCCTGGATCCCAAGCCCAGGTACCACGCGGTGGTGTTGGGACCCCTGCGGGGGGGGTGGGACAGGCCGTGGGACATGTTTAAATGGGCTGGGGTGTCTCATAGGCAGATCCCTCCCATCTCAAGGAGGGTATGGGACCTGCCAGTGTGGGATGCTGACACTGAGGGGGGAAATCTCATGGTTTCGCAGCTCCATCACAAAGGTGGATGTGTCCCTGAGCTGTCCAAAGAGAGCTGTGGGCAACCAGTTCCTCATCCTGCAGAGCCGGGCCAACCTCACCTGGTTCCTCTCCCTCAACAACTGCAACGTCCGCTTCCTGGTAGGGCTGAGCAGGATGTGTGCGTCCCCACTACCCCCACTACCCCCACTAAGAGAGCTGCCAGATGCCCAAGAGATGCTGGTGGCATGGGGAGGGTGGTAGGAAGGCACCTGGGGGCATTGGGCACCGGGCAGCCTCCTTGCTGCAAGCTCTTCTAATGGGAATGAACCCAGAAGCTGTCCCTGCCCTGAGCATCCCAGGTGTCCTCGTCGCCTCTTAGACTCCCCCATCTCCCTGTAGGTCTCCGGGAGCTACAGGATCATGAGCTTGTCAAAGCTAGGGCTGTTCCCTGGGGAACTCCTGCCTGACACGGAGCAGGGTCTTGTCAACAAAGCTTTTGAGAAGAACTGCAGTGTCATCGCCTCCTACTCTGCCATCCCTGTCAGCACCCACATCAGTCTGGAGATCCAGGAGCACGGTGAGGCTGCTGCCACCCCAGTGGGTGAGATCGGAGGGTCCCACCACCCTGCTCAGACCCTCCCGTCTCCCTGTCTAGCAGAGATGATCAGGAGGGCGCCTGTGATGACCACCTCCCCTCCTACCTCCACCCAATCGATGCCCAAGTTGCTGCTGCCCATGCTCCGTCCCTGGAAGTGCACGGATGAAACCATGGAGATTGTCATCGCCAGGTCCCACTTGCAGGTAAAGGGTAGGGGGCAGATGTCGCAATGCCTGCCAGCATCAATCAGGGTGAGGGACAGGTCACATTCTGCTTGTAGTCGGTGGCTGTCCCCAGCTGATGGGTGACTGCCAGGTGCTTTTCTCCCAGCCCATCAAGGACCTGGTAAACATCTCCCTGCGGGACAGTAGCTGCCAGGCAGAGAAAAATGCCACTCACTTCATGCTGAAGACCACACTCAGCCACTGCGGCACCTCGCTAGAGGACAGGGGCCATGCCAACAACGAGGTGAGGGGGGAGGCCAGCGGGGGTGCTGCCCCTCAGCCCCAACTGCTGCCCCATGGGGGCTTCAGACCACCTTGCTTTTGTGTGGCTGGAAACGTCCTGCTGCAGCCCAGGTGTTGGCAGAGATGGGACCCCCA